GCAGCCTGTGCTCCGCCACCTCCCTTCCTGCGAGGGTTCCCTGCCACGGGCTCCATCTCCCGCTCCGCTCCCCTCGGCAGGGTCAGACTGCCAGGCTGGCCACCCGACAGGACACATACTTCTTTCTAGGACAAGGAATGCTAACAGCCAACACCTTACAGCAAACACCAGCCACTCTACCTGCATGACCAACTCCCTCCTGTGGGGAAGGACTTCAGGTATTTTTGTTTATTTTTCCATACTTTGTGCTGCTCGCCTTCGCCACTGAGCCAACAAATCCCAGTTTCTTTTCTTGCGATACCACATCCAAGCTGCACGCACTTCAAAAACCATTTGAGAGAAAACCGTGATCACAGGAGGCAGGCAAGTGCTTGAGATGGATGAACTGGGACCATTTTTCCTCAAAGGAAAAAGACTGTTTTCCAGTCCATAAAAACCCCCTTAGCGTTTCTGACAGGTTGGTAAGACAAGCTAACCATGCTCTCCAGCTCCCAGGTGCACAGACGAAAGCTGCTCAGCTATTTCAGGCACAGCCACAACCCTCGCTCTGCGTGAGGACAAGGCTCCTGAGGATGCTCGGTTTCCAGACCCTCCTCATGCAACGAACAGTCCCCTCCCGGGCGCTGCGATGGGCAGAACCAAGGAAACCACCGTGGTCCCTCTGCTCCAACCCCCCTGCTAACCTGAGACCCTGACGTGGGAGACCTCTCCACCACAGCCAGAGGCACTCAGAGAGGATCAACAGGGGCGGCTGAGTTCAGGGCAGGAGAGAGAATCAGTCTGAAATACTTCATCTGACCCAGCGGCACATCAGGCTGTGCTTCCTTTAAGGTCACATCTAGGAACACGCGAGCTCAGCTCTCCTCAGTCTATTTTTAGGCAGGCATTATGATTATTTTGCTGCTTGTTGTCCCAGTGAATCCTTTGCTATGACTTCCCTCAGCAGTGTGTAGAATTCAGGCAGCGAGCAACTCACTCCCACTTCCCAGCAGCACAAGCTGGGTGTCACCAGAATCACTTCATGAGGGGAACATCGTCATTAGTCAGACCGCAGGCTGGAAGCACTGTGCAAAAGTTTCCTGGCTCCTTCTGCCTCCAGAGACCACAGAGGCAGGATCAGGCAACAGCTAGCACACGTTCGCAGCCCTCCCTCACCTTGTCCCGACCCTCGCTTTGTAAATTAACCTTTAAAGGAGGCTGCGCTGCAAGCTGCTGCCAGAAGCCGCTGTAACCGGAGCCTGCTAACGCAGCTCCCTGAGCAAGACAGGGGTGTTCCTGGAGAAAGGAATAAAAGCCATCTTCGGGGCAGGAAAACACGGAGATTTCTGCAGGCATCAGCAGCTTGCTCACTGCAAAGAGCAGGACCCATGGGCTCCTGCCAGCTTTCTTAGTATAAGAAGTTATACAAGACCGGTCTATGGGCATTTCGTACATGTCCTAGGCCTCTCTGGCTCCTGCAGAGGACAAAGCTCCCTGCAGAGACGTGCGCCCATGATGTGGCTCCGAGGGGAGAACCAGAGCCAGGCTATTTGGGGAACACAAAAAAGAGAAAGAGGAAATATGAATTTAAGTTCAGGACATCGAGCTGTCAAAATCCCTTTCCTCCCCTGTAACAGCCTGCCTAGAAGCACAGAAACCAGCTGTTCTGAGGGGCGAGGAGGGAGGCTAACAGCACGCCGGACCCTCCAACACCATCCAGTCTGCTCCATGCCGAGGGGAACGCGCTGCAGCGGGGAGCAAGGGAGCTCCCGGCCGGGTTCCAGCATTGCTGCAGTAGAGAATTACAGGGAGAGGCACTTCATTGCCAGCACCTCCTCCCTGCCCTCTGGGGAGGGGGAGCAGAGAGACGATAAGCAATCAAGGTTTGACTTAGTTCAGCTTCATTTTCTGCTAAGCCCGTGGTCCCTTTGAACACAACCTGGCCCAGACACCAGAGCCACCAGACCTCGGTCCCTCCCATGCAGGACCAGAGGGGCGAGACCGGACTCCAGCCTGCCAGAGGTTCTGGAAGAAACACCAAGCCCCAGGTGGTGTTTTGCAGTTTCCTCCAGGTTCGCTGCCTCTCAGAAGGTCTGCAGGTGCAGACAACAGATATTCCCAGGGTAACAGCTGCTTCTCAGCCTCTGTCATTTTTAGTCACCGCGTGTGAAGTTAAGGCTTACAAGAGCCATGAGTAACAGCGTGGTTCCGCTCCGATCATAGCGGGATGGTGATTCATGACAGCTCAGTGGGGAGGGACGTGCTGCAGGTTGGAGCTATGACCACCTTGGTGCGGCTGCGTCGCTTCCCCCAGCGCTCTCCCTCCGAAACGCCGAGGAACAAGCGGCCTTAGCAGGAGAGCTACAGCTCCAGGGCTGGCACCCGCCGCTGGCCACAGCTACGGCCCACCCTAGACAGATGCTAACACCAGAGGTGGCCAAGCATGGATGAGCGGACGCCCTCCTCTGCACGAAACACTGCTCACCCCATCCAAAGAATCTCCAGGGAGCAGACAAGCCTGGAAAACAACAACTGGGGCTCTGCTGGGCAAGGGGACCGCGCCAACAGTCCTCTACCGCACACAAAACAGCGGCTGCAACGCTCACATGTCACCTGGCTCACCGGTCTCTCCAACCCCAAAGGGAGCAGAGGCAAGTTCTCCTCCCGAGAGGCAAATTCACAGGGACACGTTAATGGGACAGCATGGCCGCAGGCCAGGGCTGCTTGTTTCACGCTGGGGAGACCAATTACAGCTGGCGGATTAGTCCGTTTACCCAAAACGGAGGAAATGGAGCGTATGGAGCCCTCCATCCACGGCAAACCACAGCTGCATCCAACGCAACGGGACCCAGTCCACCCCAGCGCACCACCCACCTGCCCCAGACGCTTCCCTCCCTTCACCCAAGGCTCTGGGTCTCTGGGAAGCCAGTTATCAAGGGCAGCTCCCCACACTCTGCAGGCAAGCAAGGCGAGACCACATGCTTCCCACCCCCCTTTTCCACCCTGTGGCACTTTGAAGCCTCATTTAATCCCAAGGCTACAGCAGTTACAGGAGTTGGCAGGACAAGCTGCATAGCCACATGCTGAGCTGTTGTGGGACAGAGGAATTATGCAGCTTTATTTCCAATGGCCATAAAAAAAAAAGGCAGGAGAACACCGCAGTGAGCTGCAGTATCCCACCCCTGCCCTGCTCCTGCCCGGGCAGAAGGGCTGCTCCTTCTCCAGGAAGGACTCCGGGCTGGGTGCAAATCACCGGCTCTGGGACACTGCCAGAAGAGCCACGTATGAGTTTACAGGGACCTTGCAAAGGGAAATATGCTTGAAATGTCTTTCTTTTTAAGAAAATTATTCTGGTAAATCTCTCCCAGATTAATGTAGCACAGCGGGCCTTTCCTGTTTTGAGTCACTTCACAGCTCTCTCAGCAGTTGCACCAAAAGAAACCGTAAGGCTATGACCAAAACTCGCAGGCAAACAGCCGTTAGGGGCAGGAAAGCAAGAAAAGTGTCTGCTTGACCACCCACAAACACAAAAAAAGCCTGACTTACCCTACTGGCACACAGCTTGGGTGGAGATGATCGTAACTGCCAGCAACACAGACAAGTGACTGACATTCGAGTCTTTCTATGCCAACACTGCGAGGGCTTCTTCATCCCACTCAAACCAAGAGGAGCTTCCAGCAGAGCATTTTTGTTTGACCACCGTTGCAAAATGGCTGGCTCCTCCAGCCAAACAGTTTCATAAACCTGCACTGCACGGATGATCAAGTTTTGTGTCTTATTGTTTCGGGCCACGCACCAAGACAGCTCTGCACAGCCCGTCTTCCAGAGCACAGGAGCAGAGGTCAAGCACGGATCTGCTGCCAGAGACACACGCTTGGAAACCTCGTGCCAGGGAGACCGGCGCAGGAGCCACGGTCCGTGAAGCCACATTTGCCACATAAAACCCAAGCAAGCAGCACGGCTGTCAGGCTCCCACAGCATCACCTGCCGCAGGAGACCTAACGAGAGACCATGTCTGGCAACGCATCTTCATCACCCAGAGGTGACAGCCAGCTCTCTGGCTGGCCTTTCCTCAGCATCATCCCCAGACACCTCCCGGGAGGGACCACCCTGTTAGCCCAGGTGACCCTGGACGCTTCAAGAGCGTGAGAAGGCAGTGTAAGAGCCACTCGGGCAGCCTTCCACCTTCGGAGCGAGCCACCACATAAGCGTCCCGCACGCACTGCGACAGGCGAATCATTAACCGGGCTGGCACGAGCCTGGCGTGCTGGAACAGCGCAGCAAACCCCCGAGATGGAAAAGGGACACAGGACCTGTGGAACTAGTGACTCAGCTGGGATGTCTACAGCCACTGCGAGGAAAGCACTTCAAGTCGCAATGCAGGGAGCAGTCTCGGTTCCCAGGCGGGTGCTTCGGCTGCCCATGTGCCAGCTGCTACCTCCTCCTCCGAGCCGAGGAGCTGCAGAGCAGGGCTGCCCGCAGCATCTCCTCCCCTCGTGCCAGACATCACCAAGGTCTCCCCTGTCTCCCCCCACCCCAGCCGGCACGCAGGGTAACAGGTCTCCTCCCCTCACAGTTGCTGTCTGTTGAACCAGCCTTGGCATTTGGGTCCCTGCTGGCCTGGGATCAAGCCATGGTCTACAGAGACAGGATTCACAGCCCAGCTCCATGCCAGGGAAGTATCAGTCCTACCTGCACAATGTCCAGCACCATTCCAGCAGCAACCGTCCCAAAGCCTGCCAGGAGGAACGGGAAGAGGACTTGGAGCCCGATGGACAAGGAGGTCTCCTTGAGGGGCGAGGCTGGCTCAGGACCTCGGTCCGTGCTGGTGTCATCGCTTTCATTGCTCTGGCTGCCATTTTCCAACAGGGCATCTTCTTCTCGCACCCCTTTAGCATTGGCACGGGACTCCAACACCACCACTTCCACCCCATCACCATCAGGTCCCAGGAAATCTGAGGGCTCCACCAGCTGCCCCCGGTCCGGACTGGCGAGACAGTTCACGGGCACAATGGGCAGCACAGCCCCATTAGCCTGGTGGGTCTCCTTCTGCTCTGGCTTGGAAGACATGCTGCAGAGAGGCTATCCTGACCTTCGGCTTGGTGGGCCTACAGCCAGCAGCTGCTCCAGAAGAGATCTTCTGACAGGACCTTATACAAACGGCCTTTCCAGCATCTAGAGGCGACCTCTCCTATCCCTGCTCGCCTGCCTTTGGGTGCAGAGACTGCTCCTGCAACAGAGCTCCCCATCAAGCAAAGTCCAGGAACGGAGGACACCAGCCAATGAGCTAGCAGGGAAGACTGCAGGAATCAGGAGCTACCACAGATCCACTCTGGCTCTCCTCTGCAGCACTGCGCGGCACAGCAGCTGCCAAGACAGGATCCCAGCTGTTCTTTGATGTATGACACTTCAGTGCATCTGTCTCCAGGTCTCCTTCCAGCAGCACGACTGCTATGGTGGGGCACACAAGGCAGAGAGAAAACAGATGAAGCAAAGACCACTGAATAACACAGGAGCTTAAAGGAACAAGGAATCTGAGAGCAGATACAAGGGGGACTGGCTTTTAGAAACGATACAATCCAGAAAAGCTCTTCTTACTACCAGGGCTTTGTCGCTTTCTCCAGCAGCACTGTCTCCCTGCAGAATTTGAGTCTGAAGGCTCCTGTGGGCTTTCACTCTGTTTCAGCCCGTCTCGTGCTCCCTGCCAAAAAGGCCAGCAATACCAGCAAGCTCCAAGTATCACTGTCGTCCCCCTCAACCAGAAGAATTTCTCACCTTACAGCATGAGGCAACGAGAGTTCTTATTTAAAGCAACAGCAAGCTCCCAGTTAAGGTTACTCACTGAGCTGAGCAGGCTGCAGGGTGAGAGCTGGCATTTGGATGGCCTCAGATTTAACGTCACTCTCCAAGAACTCGTCTTTCACCTGAAATACACGAGAGGAACACAGCCGTCCTGTTGAGTCCCGGGGCAGTCGGCATAACGGCCCATTCATTCAAGAACGTCTTCCTGCCATGTACCCTCAAGGCACCGCTGTGCCATCCCCCGACTCCCCACGCCCACTTTCATCACCCCTTGGGC